TCTCTTTCCCTCTCTCTCTCTCTCCCCCTTCCTCCATTCTTTTTGTCTCTCTCTTCTTCTGCCTTTTCCATCTCTTTTCATCCCTCGCCGTTTGAAACTGAATACTAACGCACCACCATCCTCCTCTTTCGCACAGACACACCGGTCTCAGCTGTCGCTGATCCGTCGGTCTGTTTCCCTTCGACCAACGCATACACGCAATCTCTCCTTCTCTCGAACGTGGACTCTATCTCACCGACACCAACGTAGGTACCTCTTCGTCGCGCCCTTCGATTTACGCATCTCTCTTCGACTCACGGACCGCGCTCGCGCAGAGAGAGAGTGCATCCTTCACCGTTCTCTTCTCTTTCTCTTTTCCGATTAGCCCCTCTCTCTTTCTCTCTCACCGCTTTTCTCCCGCTATCGGTGACGATATCTTTCCCTCTCTCTCTTTCCTCCGTTTGCAGTTCAGCCGATCCCACTTCGATTTCGATTAAGGGAGCAGGAGAAAATCCTCCGCGCCTACGCGTGTGCGTGTGTATTATTTTTTTTCTATATACGTGCATCAGGCGATACTTTCCGTCGACACCGTCGGTGACGGGCCAATCGACATGCGGTCGGAGCACTGTCCCTCGAGGTTGCGCGACCAGACGTGTGCTCTCCTCCGCTCTTTCCCCTCCGTGGACCACGCTGGGAAACGTGGGCGAGATTAATATTAGATCGATTGTCGTTAATAACATCTCCGGCGCTATGTCACGGCACGGCGCTATTTATCGCCAGCCGGGTGCAACAACCATTGTCATCGACGCGATGCATCGCGGGATTTCGCCGGGGCGCATGTTGCACGTAAATTTTCTCTTCTATCTCTTTTTTTTTTTCATTTTCAACAACAATTCGCCCGAGCGTAAACCGACAAATCAATCAATCGATAAACATGCCCATTTCCACGTTACTCGCATCGTCAGGATAGAAACGCGCAATGCGGTTCCTAAAACAGCGAAACGCGTCGCTGAAGTCAAACGTAATCTTTTTTTCTGACACCGGACGAAATTAATTACAGAACATCACGAGACAACGTCGCCAAGTGAGCTGCGATGACTGACGTGTGACTGTTCCTTTCACACAAGTCTTTGTTGCAAATTTTATCAGGTGCGTCGTCGCTTCTTAGTATTAACTCTCTCAGACATGATTTTAATGGAATCACGTTAAACATTTTTAAAAAATTCAATTTAAGGGCACTTTAATAAATAATTCATACTAAAAGAATTAGTATTTTCAAAATTTTGACCAATTTTCCAACATGTGTGTTATCGTTATGTGAATGTTAGATCTCAGATGATGTCGATAGAACTAAATAATTTCACCGGATAATGTTTTTAAATTTGATGTACATTATAATGTATATAAGATCTGAAGGAGTTATGCGATGGGATTATTTATCGTTGTCGTTGGCGACGACTAACGTCGGTGTAACACCCGCTATCATACCGCAACCGACTCGCTTCTTGACGAGAGCGATTTTTTTTTATTTCTTCGTCGACGCAAAATAAACGTCGCGCCTCCCAAGGGCGAGAGTGACGTTGTATCACTCACGCGAAAGAGTTCATCGTTTTGTGGAAAAACGCGAGTGCAAGGAGATTAAAAAGTATCAATCTTTGAATGCATGAAAATCGTGAATTTCTGCGAAAGAGATATATTTTGAAGAGAATACCCTTGATAAATTCGTACGTTCGTTATTAAATCCGATGCCACAAGCTATTTAGCATCTCCGTTATAGATGCCACAGCTATTTAGCATCCCCGTTATAAATGCCACTTTAGGATAAACTTCAAAGAGCCTCTTAATCAGTTCACGAACTTTTCCAATAAGATCTTTAACCATCCTCCACGTTCATTGTTCATCGAGCTTAACAACTTTTGCGACGCCGGAAATTATTACTATAAATTTCCACCGGCTGACCTTTCGTTTGATAAAACGCGTTTCGCTCTGTCGGTGGGATGCAAGAGATATGCAGCGTGAGCGCGCGCGCGAAAATGCAGCGACGAAACGAACGGGAAATGACATTAACGTTAAATTAACTGCCGTGAACTTCTGCGCATTTTATATTTTCCGATATGTCACCGGTGCGGTGATACAATCAGAGATGCCATAAACAATAATGATAATTTTGATTAATATTTAGTCAGTGAAACGCAGATGCGATATGATATATTTTTGACAAAAAAAATTCTGACAAAATCATTCAAGCATTAGCCTTATTTACATCATTCAAAAAAGTGATCTTGCAGTTATAGCGAAAATTATCTAAGTACGAAAAATAGCTAAAATAGATAAATTTCTAGCAAGTACTGCGATATTGTATAGGTATGTATTGCATTTAATCATATAGATGACAGAGATAGAATTTAGATTTGTGCTATAAATTCTATGATACACAATTTTCTATCAGATACAAAAATCAGCTATCATTCTAACTGGAGTAGTAAAATATTTTTTTGCGTGGTGGATCATTCGTATCCTGCGTAATTCTTTTCTTTGAAATACTAGAAGTACTTGGCTAAATAATAATCTCCTTCCTTTTTTTTTAAACCTTACAAATACTTTCTAATGTTAAGGTATAATATGTAAAAATCGTTTAATAATTTTTATACACGGCAAAAAATATTTTGCATTTATATTAAAAACGGTCCACTCTATGTTTGTTAAAATTTTATGTTGAATTTTTAACATATTTGAATGTTAATTTAACATAATGTGTTATATCATTTGCATTTTTTATGTAAATTGATATTCAACATCTCTTAGTCAAAATAATGATTTACGAATAAGTGAATGAATAACGTAAAAACCTTGTATTTTAAAATGTTAAAATGTATGTAAATTATAAATGAATAAAATACCTGTTATTTTAACACATTATAAATGTTAATTTTACTGAAAAAATATGCTTCCAGTTTTCTTACAAATCAGTGTAACATTGTTTACTTTAGTTTTTTTACATAATATATTTCTAACGTATTCATCTTCTATTAAATTAACACACAAATTTGAGTGGACTATTTTGAAACATGTACCTATTCAATTTAATATAAATTGTCGAACTATGTATTTGTAAAAACGATGAAAATTAATCTAGATATGAACGATATATCGTGTATAGTAAAGACTGGATAATCGTGTCTTCTAGAGTTAGAAGATCAATCGATAGAAAATCAATTAATAAATTACCAAGATTATTTCTCCGTTAATCGCTCGGCTATTTTCGATGTTCAACATTGTGTAACGCAGACGCACGTACTAAATATAAGTTTGCCCCTTCTGGTCCGAAGCGATTCTGCGTGAGCGTGCGGGCGATAAACGAGTTTCGATAGATGCCAGTTGCGAGAGGTGAGCGATGATAACGCGGCGCGAGAGCAATTAGTTTAACACATTTTAAACGGCAAGCGACATTAACACGGAAATGTCGTCGTTCGCCGTTACGAGAAGCACGTAAATATAGCCAAGGACATGTATGATATGCGTTTACCGAGGCACGCGAATAAAGGGAACAAAATCTTGGAAAAACATCGTTGGCCCCTTCGACGCTTCTTGCAACTTTACGGAGATAAGTTTTTCGCGGCACTTAATGCGACACTCTCGTGGGTCATAAAATTCATATCGCGTGCCGGGGACATCAACGACTTGACCGTTGACGACCGCACATCAGGATCGTTCGTTTTTTTTCCCTCGCTTCCGGCGACTTTAAGAATTTCAGGAACGAGGTCGAGCATCGCCTGTATCAGCTGAGATGAAGAGACATGTTGCTTTTAATAGATAGAATTGAACACGCAAAGAGCGATCTTCCCGTTAATTATGTATATTGCGCGCTACTCGACTTAACGAATAACTTGATTATGGGTAAATTAAATATCGATTTTGGCCCGATCCTCAGCTACTCGCGAGATGGTTAACTTATCGATTTTCCACAAAGGAGATGATGTATCCTTAATAAAGTGGCACGTAAAGTTACGCGCGTAATCTCACGCTCGATTTTCCTTACTTGATATTTCTCGTGGCGGTGCATTTTATGGAAGTTATGTGTCGGGGGATATTGATTCTGGCGAAGGAATAGTATATCCCGAATATTCTGTCGGATGTTACGTTTAACCTTTTAGAACTGACGGTGGGTTTGTTTGAAGCATTCAATTATTATTCTTCGTGTTGCATCTATATGTGAATTATCGTCATTAAAATAAATTTAGTATTCATTCTTTTTATACGAAAAGTTAAATACGTTATTTAGAATCCTTAAAATTAATTAATGCTTTTTAACTTTTCAGGAGCGAATGTTTCATATTTGCAACGTTCATTTTTTAATTAAATTCAGGGTAAATTCGGAATCTGTGTAAATCAGTTATATTTAAGAAATGAAGATAAAAATATATGTAGCGTTGAACACTGAAATATAATACTTTTACCCAGAAAAGCTATAACGATATAGGGTAACTCTATAAGTATATACGCCGCACCTATCAAAAACTTAATTTATTACGTATTATTTATTATGTTTAAAGTAAACGAACTATATCAGTAAAAACTTTGTACTGTCTACTACTATGAAAAAAATATTAGAAATCCGAAATATATATTTATTTTTCGTATAAACAAATGAACTTTTTGAAATCCTTGCATTTTTGGCATATATCCCATAGGGGTGGAATATATGGCTATTCATAGGAGGAAGAGGGGGGGGTATATATGGCTCACGAAAAATTTACAAATAATGCATAGGGGATTTAGAACTATTGGTTCCAAATCGGACCATCCCCTGGTTCAAATCGAAAACTCCTATTTT